ACTCCATATTCCCCCCCCGGGCAGAGCACGTCCTGCACTGTGTGGAGAACCAGCCCCTGGTCAAAATGCTCAGCTCACCAACAGCCTGGCCAGCAGGCTCCTTCCTTCCCCCACTGCCTCGGGCTGGGCCTGCACCCAGGAAAACCCAAAACCCTCTGGCCTGGGACACTGGCCAGGAGGACCTGAGCCCTGCATATGCCAAAGCCCCGCACAGCACTGGCACAGGGAAGCCTCTCTGCCCCTCAGCTAAGCTCTGGAGTGGCGAGGGAAGGGGGAGTGGTTTCCAGCCCGTTTGCACTGCGACCCTGCAGGCTCCACAGCAGCCCCTGGAGCAGAGGCTTAGCACCCTCTTCACCCGCCTTGCCTGCCATGGGTCCTGTCCCCAGGGAGCATGGGGCTGCTCCATCCCCTAGGCACCCTCCCCTGCTGAGCCACCTCTCTGGCTGGGTTCGCTGAAGCCCCTGCAGTCAGGTTTCCTGGGTCCTGTTGCACAATGCATCCTTAGGCCTTAACCCCTTCCTGCCTGCGCTGTAGCCGGGGGGACAGGAGGCGGCTGGGTTATGTCGGTGACCAGCAGCAGCCTGGAGGTGTTAGCTGCCTTTCAACACTGTGCGGGCCGGAAGGGACAAGCTGCTTCCAGACACAGGGGAGCGTGTGGGGTGGGGAGGGGGTGCGGGGAAGAAATGAGCTCTGCAAAGACATGGGCTAGGTCCAAGGCCGGCTTTAGGCCAATTCCACCAATTCCCCCGAATCGGGCCCCGCGCTTAAGAGGGCCCCGCGCCCAGTGGCAGGGTCGCCCAGAGTGGGGGGCAAGTGGCAGAGAATCCCTTCCCTGGCTAGAGGCACCTTTTTAATTTTTACTCACCCAGCGGCGCTCCAGGTCTTTGGCAGAGGGTCCTTCACTAGCTCCGGGTCTTTGGCGGCACTTTGGTGGCGGGTCCTTCAGTGCCGCCAAAGACCCGGAGCGAGTGAAGGACCCGCCGCCAAAGACTAGGAGCGCGGCCCAGTGAGTACAAGCCCCACGTGTTTTTTTTAACGTGGTTTTTTTTTTTTAGTCATCCCTGTCGGGGCCCCGTCGAAACTGTTCAAATCGGGCCCCGCACTTCCTAAAGCCGGCCCTGGCTAGGTCATCTCTTTCCCTGCTCCTCCTCTCCTGTGGCTGGAAGCAGCTCCCGTCCCTTCCAGTGCCTAAAGGCTGCTGCTGGCCACACTGTGGTGTGACCCCTGGCAGAAATCTGGGGAGTGGGGCATATGACCCTGTGTGCTCCCGCATGTGTTGCCTCAGGAAAATGCGGCACCAGGTATCAGGAGAGGCAGATCTGTCCCAGGGGCCCAGCCAGGCATGGAGAGCTGAGAGCACCAGGCAGGGAGGGTCGGGTCGGTCGGTCACCGCCCCTGTGTGAGAGAGATATACAGAAGTGTGTGTGCGTCACCTCTTCCTATGTGAACCCTAAAGCCTTAAAGATAAGAAGGTAAATAAAAAGAATCCAACTATGCAGTATTTCTTTTAACAGGGGCTCAATCAATTTGATGTTAATTTGAACATTTATACTGCATAGTTCTGATTGATTGCCATTGAACTCACTTGAATATGAGTAATTTTACCAGGTGTCCGTATTCAGCACAGGGAAATATGGTCACCCTAATTAGGAAGGGTGGAAACGTATAACTTACAGCTTCCTGTGCTAGTAGGGTCTATACGTTGGGCCAATTTTGTATTCAGTTATACACATGCCAACCTATTAATATCAACAAGCTCATAGAGGTGAGGAGCAGTCGTATCCCACAGATGGGGAAAATGAAAAACAGAGATTGAAGCGCACATTTCCAAAAGTGGCCACTGCGGCCCCAGTCCTGCATGCTGCTCTACACCAATCCCTCACCTCACCCCCGCCTAGGGTGACCAGATAGCAAGTCTGAAAAATCAGTACAGGGAATGGGGGGTAATAGGGTCCTATACAAGACAAAGCCCCTAATATCGGGGTGGCCGGTCACCCTATTCACACCCCACAGAAGAACTGTACCCATATTAAAGTCAATGTTGAGGTGATGGAGGGGCACATTCTGCCTATACAGCACCTTGCAGGTTTGGTGACTAATTCTGAATGGTTGTGTATTTTCGATGAAGAGATTATTCTTAGATTAAGAGTCTTAGGGCTTGATCTCAGAAGCAAATACTCCATGTATGGTATCATCAACTTTGTACTTTGATATTACATTCCATGAAACTAAAGGCTGATGTGACCCAAAAGCTATTTATTTGCTTTATTACCTCCTTCCTTTGTACCACTTATTTAGTCGTTTTAGATATGTTTAAGTATTTCTCCTCAATGCTCTCTCTCTCTATATATATATATATATACATATACACACACACACACATATATATATAGAAGTTAATTTCACCCAAAATCTGTAATGAATATCAACCCTTACTAAATA